GTTTTTGAATGGTCTAGTCATTTAGGGTGCACTTTCTCAGACCTAGGGCAATTTTACTGACTGGTGGTGGGAGCTGGCTTGTGGAGAAGCTGCCCTGGTATCTGCAGCTTTGATCCACAAGCTGTGCTGGGATAACTTCAACTGGTGGTGGAGTTTGCATGTGTCAGCTCTGAGGCTGGTCTGCTCTAGGAGCTCCTTTGGGAAGCTGAAGTTCAAAGGTGTGGAAGGCTGTCTTCTGGCCTATCAGAAGGACCAGGTTCTCTTCCTTTCTGGGCAGATGTCCAGCTTCCGCTGCTCCTTGTCCAGTGCTGATGCTGTCTGGAACTTCTCAAGGCAGGTTTGTGTGGAAACACCAGGAGATGCTCAGGATGTGGAGCTGGAGAGGAACTGCGGCTGTTCGTCCATCCCATCCCATCTCAGAAGGACCCTGTAGGCTGTAGGTCTCTTTGGTGTCTAAGAGCTGATGCTTTGGGTCAAGTTGAGTCCTTCAGACCTCACCCAAGCACAAATAGTCCAGATTTCATAAAACCCGAGGAGCAAATTATATACTGCCTGGGAGCCAGAGGGAACCGAGCCCTTAGCATGAGCAGGCAACTCAACTTAGAGACCCTCCTCCCTCTCTGTGTGTTAAACATCTCACATGTTTCTGTCTACCTGTGTGTTATTTCCATAAATGCCTTCATTTTGAAATAGGCTGCTTCAAATATATATGAAATAGAAAACTAGGCTGCTGTGTCCTGGCGTGACCCCATGCTGGAGGGGAAATCGAGTTGCTGGATGAAACCAGGCTATTTTTAAGAGGGTCCTGATAAGTCTGCAGCCAGTTCTTCAATATTAGGATGGGAAGCAGCCTTTCCCAGTATGAAAATTCAGGTGGTTAATCTTCCAGAGAAGATCTGTCCTGCAATTTTATTTTTCATACATCCTAAACTTTAGTATAATACTGCAAGTAGTTGAAAAGCTACTGCATTTCAGCCCAGGGGTGGCTGTGTTTTTTGCGCTTGGTGCCTCTTTAAGATGACCTCTCATCCCAAAGCATCCATAAGTTAGACCTTACCTCACTGCGGAGTCATTCCCAGTCATAGGGCAACTTTTGAGAAAAATAAAGCTGGTGAACCCAGGGAGTAAACACATCTATTTCTGTAGGTCATCTTCCAAGTCAAACAAAAATAAGAGCTGACTTGAGGCTGGAGACTGCATGACACACTGTTAACTGAGAACTGACAACGCACGGCCTGATCCCCTCTGCTGTAAGACCGAGTGGCATTTCTGGAGTTCAGTGGAGTTCAAGTTCATGCCCTCCAGCCTGTAGCTGTTTACAAGTTAAGTGTGACAGGGTTGGGCAGTCAGGAGCCATGAGCGGTCAGTGTTTGGAGGAACATCTGGAGTCGCTGAGAATGGTGTTGGTGATTTGGTGTTGGTGATTTGCTCTCCACATCCTCTGTGTGGGACTCGAGCTGATGTCTCGGCAGGAGCTGGTGGAGATCTTGCCTTCCAGCCCCAAACCACCCATGCTGGGCTGCACGAGCCTTGCCTGGAGTCCATGGGGGAGCTTTTACCCCGCGTCGTCCTTCCAGTGCTGCAGAGCTGCTCTGCTTCCTTTCCAAATGGGGAATTTCCAAATTGCCATATATAGATAGCCCCTCCAAACAAAAACTTTTATGTAGAGCTGAAAAAAAATAAGGGCTGTGTTCCCGAAAAGCCTGTTTGTTCCAGCTGTGGTAATTTGTCTCGGAGAGGATATTGCATCTCTTCAGAAATCGTGCATTGTTTACATCCCCAGAATGTCAGGGCAGCTGCAGCACACCACGAAACCTTCTCCTGCAGACCTCGGAGGGGTCTGTGCTGCACAATGGCTGTGTGTACACACTGGAGTCTCAGCAATATCCCAATCAAAATACAGTAGACTGGTTGGTGGTGGTTTGTTGGATTTTTGATATTTTTTTTTACTATTATTTATTTATTTTCATTTCTACAACTGTTAATTGTTCCTGAGCTGTTCTGTAACTTGGCGTGGTAAGGAAGATGAACATCCTGAGTGAATTAGAGTCCGTGTCAGCCGGAGAACACGAGCTCAGTGGTGAGAGGGAGCTGAGCCTACGCCGAGATCCGCAGCCAGATTCTGATGGAGTTTAAACAGGAGCAGATCTGGGGTGATTCTGTTGGCTTTGGAGTGCAGGATGCAACTGGGAAAGAATGGGCATGCGCCAGTCTTCCTGGAAACAAGATCTGTCAATTACAGTAAAGTGTAAAAATAAAACAAAATTGTGTAAGATATAATTATTTTTCCAGGGTGGCTTTTTCCTGCTTTCACCTCTCCCAGCAGGAATTGCTGGGAGATAAAGGCTCAAATCTCTGTGGGGTGTGAGACTGAATGGCACTTGCATCGATAAACTGACAAAAAAGGGAATTATTCTAAGATGAGCAACCCTTCCGTGGAAAGGCTTCCTTAGGAAGTGAGTAATGGAGGGGAATAATCTCTGTATACCCACCAGCCCTAGCCAAGGGGCTCTTAACACGTATCTGTGAACCCTGGGATCTAGACACATAGGGTTTCTAGCCCACTGTCTTTGCAGGTCATTGGGCAATGGGGCAGAAGAACAGGCCAGGAGTAGATGGAAGTCTATGCTAGTTGGTGAGAAGCAGATGGGGCAACTCTTGCTTCCCCCAGCCCATCCCTTCCATGTCCCAGGTCCAGGACACAACCCATGTGAGAGCAGCAAGAAGGACACATTCACCAGCAGAGAACAGGGATGTGGCTGAAGGAGTGCTCTGCTCAAGGGTGGTTTGGAGAGCCTTTTGCCTTCTTGGCTGCCACCATGGCCAATGCATCAGCAGCTGGACTGAAGGTGAACCTGTGTGATACGAATGGATGAAGTTACTCAGGCTGGTGGATCAGACCATGCTGTGATTTGCTTTGCTGTGTCATTTTTTTCCCTGGGAGCTTGCTTGCCAAATGAGCCTGCAGAACTGACAGCTTCACTGCTAAAGTACCTGCACTTCATCTTGAGTGCTGTTCAAGGAGCACAACTCTGATAAGGGCAAGGCCAAACCACAGCAATTTCAGAGGAAATAGCCTGTTCTTGATTTCAAGAGGCAACGATGGAGCCCACTGTGCCTATGGTCAGGTGTAACTCAGCAGCTAACATCCAGCCTTCCTTCAGTGGGCTGTAACACTAAGAAACCATGATCCATGCATCAGGGAAAGCAGGTAGCAACAGTATTTGGTCACCATAGCTACTGCAGCAGGATCCAGATGCCATCTTTGAGGGGATCTCCCAATGATGTGCTCTCTGTATGAGAGCAGGGGTATCTAATTCACCTGAGTACCTGGGATAATGCTTATTCCAGCCTCTGTGAATCTCTGGGTGAGGCTGTCACTCCCATGGGGTGATGTCACATGGGACTGAGGTATCGTGCTACCTAATAGTGCAAAGCTCCTTCGTGGTGCAGCTGGTACCAAACTGGGAAGAGAAACATCAGCCAGTGCCCTGGAAGTTTTACTGGCTGACTGAATCCATGGCTTCTCAAACACATCTGATTTCTCGGGTCTGTTCTGACTTTCCGTTTTGTTGATGAGTTTGGATACAACTTCTTTTCCACCCTGCGCAGCTCCTTGGCTCCTAATTTCTGGTCCCCTTTTTTACAGTTCCCAGGAGGGAGAAAATCAAGTTGGGGGAAGTATTGCTCACCAGAAATCCCACAGGATTCTCAGCATTCCCCCTCTGCTACTTTTTAGCCTGTCTTGTTGGGCACTCCCCATGTTAAGGGAGGTGATGATGGATTGGTCTCTTCATAATTGGGTGTAACTTTCCAGCTTTTCTCTACCAGTAACAGCTTGGATCTGTCCAGAAGGAGCACATGGTAAAACCTGAAGTGAAAAAAGGGAAAGGGACTGTTGTCACCTCCCCGTGATGAGGAGAAGCCAAAAAGCAGGTACCATGAGGAGGGAAACTCAGTTTGGTCCAATTTTTGTTCTGGCAAAAGTCTCTTGCACGGAGGGGAAGCAGAGAGGCTGTGTGCCAGTGGGGTCTTTGGTTTGTCCTCTCTGCCCACTCTTCTGCCCCACCATCCAGTCAGAGATGTGTCACAGATTTATCTTCAGGCGTGTGAGTCCCCTTTGACTCAGAAGTCACAGGCTTGAGAACGTATTTAACACCACACTGCAAGGAGATAACCTTGCAGTGGGCATGTAACAGGGTACTTGCACCCAAGGATATTGCCCTTTTCCCTTTTCCCTTGTCCTTTCCCACCTCGGCAGTGGCTGCTTCCAGCTGGCTCTGCCTTTCTCAGTGACTTCTGCACCAGCTCTTCTCCCGGGTACGGAGCGAGGGGTGGCCTTGGTTGGTCCCCCCGGGTTTGGCCCCGGGGCAGGGACACACTGGGTAGCGCTAGGACCTGGAGGAATGCTCAGCCTGCCTCCTCCCAGAAGATTAGCCAATATTCCCAGGGCAGGGCAAGCTCCCCAGCCTTTCTACTTTTTCTTTCCTCTACATACGTGTTTTTCCTTCTTCTAGTTCATTCCAGAGCAGAGCCGCTTTGGATTTCTCCGAGCTTTTATTTTTATTTTTTTTTCCCCTTTTCTTCTCCTGGTAGCTGGACTGTTGCCAGTGTCTTGCAGGGCCAAAGTTTTATCTATAGGGATATATTTTTTTTTTTTCAAACCAGCCCAGCTGCACGCAGACTGCAATTGAATCCACGCTCCCGGGGCAAGCTTAACTCGGGAGAGGAGCAGCGGCAGGGGTGCTGTTTGTGCCTCTCCTCCAGCTATTCCTGTCAAGATGGATTTATGACTTTAAAAGGAGTAAAAAAAAAAAGGGGGGGGGCGGTGTGGAAGGAAAATTGCCTACAGGAGCCAGAGCTTACACCACAGCCCAGCAAAACACATAAAGAAGCGGTTGGATCTCAAGGCATGAGCAGCGTTAGAAGTGACACCCTGGGATCTGGTGGATCCTTGCACGTAATATGACTGATCTTAAGCCTCTCCTCTGCCTTCACAGAGACCAGCTTTTGGATTTAAGGTAGTTTGCCCGGGACCAGACTTTGCTATGTTGGCCAAGACAGTGCTTTCTCTTGGTCTGTGGCTGCAGTTCGCTGTGGGACAGGACACACCTGAGAGAGGTGAGTGCCTGGAAAGGCAAGGTGTTCCCTTTCTGCTTTTCCCCTATTTAATATCTCCTGGTCCTTAAAGCTTCTCTTAAAACCTTTTCAGAATAAAAGCTGAAGTTACATTGCTGCTTGACGTGTCTATACACACCTATAGATATATATATAAAACATAACTATGTGGTACTTGTATGTTTCTTTGCTGGCACAAGGACAAAACAAACAAAAAACCTTTGTAAAATTGCCATAATAGAAAGAAATTTTATCTTGCTTGTTTCCAGTAGCGGAAAGGAATTTGTTTCAGAAACTTGCAGTTTAGTGCAATCGTATGGAGAAAGTCCTTAAAACCTTTTCAGAATAAAAGCTGAAGTTACATTGCTGCTTGACGTGTCTATACACACCTATAGATATATATATAAAACATAACTATGTGGTACTTGTATGTTTCTTTGCTGGCACAAGGACAAAACAAACAAAAAACCTTTGTAAAATTGCCATAATAGAAAGAAATTTTATCTTGCTTGTTTCCAGTAGCGGAAAGGAATTTGTTTCAGAAACTTGCAGTTTAGTGCAGTCGTACAGAGAAAGTCCTGACTCCTCACTGTTACCTACGTACTGAGGGACACCAATTAAGAGAAGTAACAACAGTGATTGATGCTGTACCTGCTGCCTTGGTCTCTTGCTAATCTCTGTAACTCAACTGCTGTATTTCCTCTGTAAAATGCTTTCTCTTGGATACTATTCCAGGAAAATGATTTGGGGTCAGTCTCACAGAACTGACAGTGGGGAAAGGGACGGGGAGGAGGGGAATGTCTCATTTCTGGTTCCTGTGCTGCTGTGCTGGGCAGAAGTAGCCCACGACGTGATGGAGAAGCTGATGCAATTATTTTTGTCCTGCCTTGTGTTCGCAAGTAGAAAAAGGTTCTGTTCTTTGGCTGCAGGGACACTGCTGGCTGCATCTGGTTTTCACTCCACCTGGGAAATGTTATCCAGGGTGAAAGGAGAAGTGAACCTCTTGTCTCTCTGGACAGGAGGTCCTCAGAGAGCAGCCCAGGCTGCTGGGGTCTGATTCTGGTATGGAGCAGAGTGTGTTTATTGCTCAGATCCCCTTACAGGGTACAGGATTCTGTCCCTCGGTGAGACTGGCTGGTTCAGGAATGGTCCTGCTGCCTCTGGTGTATTTGTGGTGCTCGATGCCCACACAGGCAGCAGTTATTCCTATTGTCCTGCATTTCTGCTGCCGTGGGAGTGCGTGTGGCAGCTCCCCAGCCCAGGCTGAAAACAATGCTGAGATCTTCAGGGTATGTGAAAAATCAAGCCGTGACTTTCCAGGAGGGTTGTGCCTTGCTCCGGAGGCAAAGCTGTGCGTGTTGTGTTATTGATGTGCTGGCTGTGGCTTGCTCGGCGCCGAGCACCCGTAGAGGAAAGGAGCCTCCTGGTCGGCAAGGTGCCCATTGCCCAGCAGCTTTGATGTGGGACCTTCTCAGCTCCTCCCCGGTGCTCCCTAAAGCGACCTTAAGCAAACAGCCGGTCTGGCAGCACTCCTGGGCATGGGCTGGCTCTCCTCTGGAGGTGCTACGGTGGTGTGTCATGACCACACATGAGAGGAGGCACGTCCATAACTCTGTTTCTGAGGGATGTGACTGAATGTGGATGATTGTGGCTTTATTCTCAGCTGCAGTGGACAAAATGAGGAAGCTACTGAATGGTCAGTGGTTCTTCGACATGCGTTCTCTTCTCTGTTGAGAAGAGAAGGCTGAGGGGGGATCTGATCAATGATTATAAATACTTAAAGGGGGGTGTCAGGAGGATGGGGCTGGTCTTTTTTCAGTGGAGCCCAGGGACAGGACAAGGGGAAATGGGCACAAACTTGAATATAAGAACTTCCACCTAAACACAAGGAGGAACTTCTTTCCTGTGAGGGTGGCAAAGCCCTGGAGGAGGCTGCCCAGGGAGGTAGTGGAGTCTCTTTCCCTGGAGACATTCAAATCCCGCCTGGACAAGTTCCTGTGGGACCTGCTCTGGGTGGACCTGCTTTGGCAGGGGGTTGGACTAGATGATCTCCAGAGGTCCCTTCCAACCCCATGGGATTCTGTGCTCAGGAGGTCCCTTCCAAACCCATGTGATTCTGTGCTCCAGAAAGATGAGGTTTTTCAGGGCAATGGCTATTGACTTAGCGCACAAAGGCACGACGTCAAGGCAGGGCATGGCATGACCAGTTCCACCACTTTCCTCTTTGGGTCCAGATTCAGATCTGCTGCATCGGTGTAAAGTACAACCTTGCGATAGTTTGGGCTTGGATAAATGAAACTCAGGTTGTCATTACCTGGTTACCCTGGAGCAGCATCAGCAGAAAATGATGGGGATGCTGCCGTCCCTGTGAGTGCAGCAAGTGACAGATAAAGACACATCCCATCCATACACACTTTGTAGAGGGCCCTGCACTTACTGATCTCTGAAGCACAGCTCAGTACCTGGCATAATTCCACCATTCCGGGACCCTTGAGGCTCTAAATAAAAGAGCAGAGATAGTGAAACTCCTGAAAAGATCATAAGAGATGGCAACCCAGCTTCCTTCCTGCCAGAGGAATTTGTCTGAAGGGCCATTTCTCAACCTCCAGCCTATAATCTGTGGCACGGACGAGCTGGAACCTGCAAAAGCAGTTTGGGCTTTTAGTCACACAAGTATATTTTGCTTGGTGGGGCTCAGCTCCTAATATAGACGGGTGATGTAGCTGTCTCCCATGGCAAGGGCCTCTCTCTGACGTGGTTTTAAGTGTCAGACACCTCCTGGCTGGCTTGGTGGGACACCTCTCTCTCTGGGAGAGGTGGTGCCTTTCTCCTCCTGCCTCTCACTGTGATCCCAAGGGGCCAGAGGGAAGCACAAACCGCCTTCTTCAGCCTCCAAACCTGGCTCCACTTGTAGGAGGGCTTTTTTTTTTTCTTCACTTACACGGCCAAACAGCGAGAAGGGAAGACAAACATGGGATTTCAAACACAGCTAACCAAGACAGGACGTGATCTTTTTTTTTTGGCTGTTAAATCCTCTGTGCTCTTCAAGTTCCAAGTCCTCTGTAAATCAGACATGTGTTCAGGTCCCAGCTGAGTGTGCAGGGAACTCTTGCAGCGGATGTCTCCTGTCAGCATCTCGGTGTTAGACAGGGAAGTCCAACCAGCTGTTCTTCTCCTGGAAAAGCTAAATATTTCAATAGGCAGCTTGGTGACTCCATGGTGACATTTTGCTCCCATATTAAGATTTGTGGTCTGAGGTCTTCTTGGCTTGTCTCTCTGTGTCCAGGCTGGCTGTTGGCTGCTCTTGTCTTGTCAATTTGGTCTCTGCTGAGGGTTGTCGCCTCCTTATCTTCTGTTTTATGCTTCTTGTGCACCTGCCTTTGCTGGCAGAATGTGGGCAACTTAAAAGTCCCAGGTTTAGGGAAAACACTATACCAAAGCATGGATATTTTCCTCATACTAAAAGACTAAACGCAGCACTGTACCACTGCTAGGAAAAGTGCTCTATTGTGTACTCTATTAAAATTAACTCTATTGTGGCCTAAAGGCTTCAGCAAATCTTTGAATCTCAAAATCTCCAATTTCAAATTCTCTCTCGTGCCAAGTAAAGCTGGGCAAACAGAATAAATCCCACCAGATGATAACCCTAAGTAATTTACCCTAATTAAAACTTACTCACTTAGGCTGAACAACTGGTATCTCTCAACACCTAGACTTGAGCAGAGCACAGGAGCAGCAACGACAGGAGGTCTGCGGAGTTATTCCTCAGCCCTCCAGAAGCAAAGGCTTGACAGGGGAGGAGACAGGGAGGTGCTAATGGATGCCCCTTCTCTCGGAATCCCACCCAAAAGTGAGAAATCTTTCCTTGGCATCTTGCCAAGCAGCCGGTCTTCTTTTTTTTTTTTGCTGTAAAGCAAGGAAACTGCTTGAAAACAGCAGCTGCTTGCGTAACGCGGGGATTTACTGGTAACGAATCTCCTCGGCCCCACCTCTGGCAGGGATGGCATGTTTGCCTTGGATGAAGGACAAAAAGCAGGAAGAGAGATGAGGGAATCAGAAAACTAAACCTGTAGGGGAGGACGATGGAGCGTCTGGTCCCTTTACAAGCGTTGTCCCACTCCTGATGCAGCGAGATCCTTGGTGTAGGTTTTTTTAGGGATCCTTTCTGCTGACAAAATCTAAAGGGGAGGAATTTGTTTCCATCCTATGCGGGGCTGAGTGTCAAGTAGAGGTAACTGTGATGGTATTTGCCTGTATGAAGGATTAGCCTTCTACTCCACCCGCAGACAATCCCTCTAGCTCCAAAACATCTATACCTGCCCACCAGCGTAACTGCTGCTTTTGTTAACCAGTTGTTAACCAGTTGCTGTTGACTAGTGCTTTCTACTCTCCAGGCAGAACATCATGCTGTCAAGCTGTAGCTCTTCTTGAAGACCCTCCTAATTAACCCAGCTATTTCCAGCAACATATGATGGGTCAAAACAATGTTTAAAGGATGTTACATCTTGGTGGCCCAAAGTTGCAGTCAAGAGTGCAGTTTGATATGATGGGTCAAAACAATGTTTAAAGGATATTACATCTTGGTGGCCCAAAGTTGCAGTCAAGAGTGGAGTTTGATGGTGGGGGGGGGAGCTTGTCTCTTGACTCTGCTTTGATGTTCTCCTCCTTTGAGCAGGTGTTCCATGCTGGTTTTCACCCATGAAGGTAGTCCTGGCAGTGGTGGGGTTTTGCTTGCGTCTTTGCCCTCGTGGGGAACTCCCAGTTTCCCTCCCAGAGTGTGACCCTGTTTCCCACTTGTGAGTGATGTCCTTTGGCCATTGATCCCTGCTCTGCCAGGGTCCAAAGCTTTCACAGATGTTTGTTGCAACACTGGGGTAAGGAGCGACGCTCCTCCAACTGGTGAGAGCAGAGGGGAGAAACAGTGATTGAGCAACCTCGTCTGGTGGAAGGTGTCCCTGCCCATGGCAGGGGGCTTGGAAATAGATGATTTTTAAGGTCCCTTCCATCTCTAGCCATTGTATGATTTCTTCCTGGGAGGCAGCAGTCCTGTTGCCAAGATCTCTCGCTGTGGCTTGCCAGCCAAGTAAGTGGCTTGTACTTCTTCCAAGCGGAGGGGAAAGCACGGAGCAGTGGCTACATGTGTTCGACTTGCTTCATGCAGCCAGAAGCTCTAAACAAAGTCCTCGTTGCTCTGCCCTGCTGGAACGCTGTTAGGAGGTAGGGAGCTCTAGGAACTGGTGTAGGTCACAGGTTCAGCTCCACTCTGTGATGTGGTGATGAAATTGCGTGTTGCTATGGGCCAGCAGGAAAGCTCACTGGACTTCACTTTTATTTTCTGCCCGGCTCTGGATGCCAAGTTGCTGGGTGTGTGTGTCTGCAGCACAGGGCTGAGCTGCGCTGGGTCACGCAGAATTGGCTGTAAATCCATGAAGATTGCAGGTCCTGCTCCCATCTCCTCCTGGCATCTCTTCCTTAGTCACCTCCAAGTAACCTTAATGTTCTCCATTTCTGTAACACATGCAATAAGCGCTGTCCCGACTCACACGTGTCCCTGCTGTCCCCCATCCTGTGGGCATTCCCAGCACACACGTCCCTTTCTCCAGTGTTCCTTCCCCTGACATTCCTGAGCACACAGACATCGACATTCCAGCCATGGGGCAGACCCAGCCACTCTTGCCCCAGTAGCATCTGAATGGTACCCAGTGAGGGAAGTTAATAGCAGGGTAAAGACCGTCCAAATGAAAAGTGGGCAAAGAGGGTCAAGTTCCCTGTGGCTCAAGCCTGAACCACTTCTCCACCTTCTCTTTCCCCCCTCAAGCCCCTTGTGTTGTGCCCTGGATGGCTGTGCTCTTGCTGGTTCGTGATCATTTCTGGGCTTGGGTCATTAGGTTTCGCTGTCAGGACGTGTAATCCACCCCTTGTACCCACACACTCATCCTCTGCCTTCATCCTTTCCCTCCTCTTCATTTTGCCATCTCCTGCCTGCCTCCTGGCGTAGTGCCCCAGTGGGGACCTAGCAACCCCTGCTCATCTCTGCCAGGCTCGTTGCTGTCTCTGGGCCTGCCTTGACATGGCTTTCTGCAGGGGGAGAACTGTTTGCATGGGCTGTCTCCTTGGAGCAATTAACTTCAGGAGAGCCTTTCCATTCGGCTGTCTGCTGCCTTGTGGTTTTGGCTCCCACTGGTGACTCCAGCACTCACCCACCCTGTGCTGCACCCAGTCCATTTGTGCTCCAGAGCACACATTGCTTGGCCATCCCACACCCCCGATCCCTTCACTGAGAGAGGAGCCCAAATGCACTGTCAGGGTTCTCTGGGCCAAGGTCTTTCCTCCCTTCTTGCACCTCAGAAGCCATCAGAAAGCAGGCTGATGCTTGAAAGAATTCCAAATCCATCATTGGTGTTCCAGCCAGGAGCAGTAGAAGGAGGAGTCCCTGATGTGCTTGTGCTTCCCGCAGAGCAGTTTAATTGAAATTGTTAGAAAATGGGTCAAATGGAGCAGGACTCCAGGCCACACCTTCATAAGCATGTTCTGCCTGACATACTGCATTCTTCTGCCCACAGGAGTCCGTGCAGCCCTTTCCCAGACATCTTGTCCTGGAGCCCATTTGAGGTGCTGCTCCCCCTAAGACCGTCTGGGAAAGGAGGTCAATGTGTATTCAGAAGAGCAAGAAAACATCAAATTAGCCTAGCTGCTTTTCAAAAGTGATCTAGGGAGGAGTCCCTCCGCTGCAGGCTTTCCTGCCAGCAGCAGCATAAATCAGGGAAGCTTTCTGCCAGTGGTGTGTGGACCGCAGCCTTCGAACCCAGAGGCAGCCAGTTCTGAAAACCAGCCACCTCTCCTGGGAGCTCCCAGCCAGCAGTTTTTCTCATCAAGTTTCTTTATCATTCCTTTCTTTTCCAGATACAGCTCTTTTTTTTTTTTCTTTCTTTTCTTTTTTTTCCAGGCACTGCCATTGTCAGAAGATGGGATAAATCTGTAAGTTGTCTCGGGCCCAAAAAAGTTGCTTCTCAAGCCTTTGGCAGTTGCTCTGGGTTTTGTGACCAGCAGTTTGCCTCTTCCTCTGGGGCAGCCACTCGTTAGCCCAGAGCAGCAGCTCTGGATGGCAGAGGCTGCTCCCTGGCACGGGGCACGGCTCAGGCTGGTGAGGAATGTTCCCAGCTCCTGGAACATGTCCACCTCGGAGCAGAAAGTACTTGGGATCAGCCTGGTGTTGTGCAAGATGGGGTGTCAGTGCGAGCTGATGTAGCTCAGAGGCATTGTTTTCTGCACTGAGAGTGGAATCCAAGACTTGTGGGTTGTACTTTTGGCTCTACCCCCATTCCTGTGCCTCTTCCCACCGCTCTGGCCTTTCAGTTTCTCTGTCACGGGTTAATAACCTGTGCCTGGAAAGACTGTTGTGAGGTTTCCTAAATGTGGAAGTGCAAGGTGTGCTCCAGAGCCAGAGCTCCCGTTGTTCCTGCAGCGTCAGGTCCAGGGGCATCTCTTCTACCCTGCCTGTTCCTGCTCTGTTCCAGCCCCCTGTCCTCCTGCAGGACCTAAGCACGAGGAGGTGAGATTAGTGTCCTGGGAAATTACTCCCTTCAGTGCTGCCATGGTATTTTCTGCTCCCACGTGTTATGCATCTAGACTGACTTTGGACCAGAGGAAGATCAGGCAGTCATCCTGCCCTCATTCCACGAGGAGCTGTATTTTCTCAGGAGTCAGGCACTAGCCTGAAGTCAGGCGTGTTTCATCTCAGTTTTTCAGAGTCTTTTGGCCTGCCTCTCCTCTCCCATGACTGGCCTTTTTTCTCTGCAAGACACGGGCTCTGTTCTGGCCATCCAAGTAGCCCCTGAACAGTAAGGATCATGCATGTGAACGGAAAGGAGGAAAAAGGCAGTTATTGTTCCTCCTCACTGTCTTTTCTATCGTTGCTCCTCTCCCTGCCCCTGGAGAGCTCATCACTGCAGGTAGGTGAGATGCATCATCAGCCTCACCTTTGTTGGAAGGCCATTGATGTACGACAGCTACAACACTTGTGGGCTTGAATATTGTGCCATCGTTCACAGTGATGGACCAAGCACACCACCAATGCTCAGGGCTACTGCGTCACTGAGGTGCTCCAACTCTTCCTTTGCACGTCTCTTACCCTCTTGGCCAACGTGAAACCCAGTGTGGTGTGTTTGAAGTGTGCTGCTGAGAGGGTCCCGGGGCAGATCAGCACAGGGCTTATGTCCTGCAATGCCTCCAAGAGCTCCTTCCAGCTCCACTGCAGTGCTTTGGCTTCTCTCCTTGGGCAGTTTGGGCAGGGTCTAGATGAAGCTGAGCAGCTGTGATGTCCCAAAGTGAGACTGAACCCAAAGAAAGCGGGGGGAGACAAATAGTCCAATACAGGTCACAATCCTGCTGTTCAGCTGGGTCTGTACCCAGCAAAATTCTCACTGAATTCTGTGAATTGGCCCGGGATAACCAAGCTTTCCCAGCAGATGCCTGTGCAGGGATGGGTTCACACCATTTCACTAACACACCTCCCTCTCTCTTCCCTTTCTAGGTCCCCAGCCATCTATTTCCAATTCAGAGGGAGACCTCCTCTTCTTACTGGACAGCTCTGGCAGCGTCTCCTACTATGAGTTTTCCAAAGTCAAGGAATTCATGTGGGATCTCATGCGACCTTTCACCATTGGCCCCAGAGATGTCCAGGCCAGCATCATCCATATCAGCACTACGCCCACCATGGAGTTCCCCTTTGACCGGTACCAGTCCAGTGGGACTCTGCAACAAGCCATCCGGGACACTCAACAGCTCATGGGCGACACCAACACAGGCAAAGCCCTCTCCTATGCCAAGGAGAAGCTCTTCAGCAATGAAGCTGGTGCCCGGCCAGATGTGCCCAAGGTACTGGTTTGGGTGACAGATGGTTTCTCCACCGATGACATCTCTGAACCCATGCAGCTCCTGAAGGACATGGGAGTAACAGTCTTCATCGTCAGCACTGGACGGGGGAACTACCTGCAGCTCTCTGCTGCTGCCAGCCAACCTCCCGAGAAGCACCTGCACTTTGTGGATGTTGATGACCTACCCATCATCACAGAGGAGCTTCGAGATGCTATCCGAGGTACGGTGGGGCTGGGTTGGGTCACTGGGAGTTTGCAACAGGGCTGAGTATGAGTTCGTGTCTGGCTCTGCAGGGTGAGTAGTATGTGCTACTTAAAGTATAAACCCAGGATTTTAGGAGGTCTGGGACAAATATCTTTATTCCCCTTGGCAGGTCCCATGACTGACTGGGGCAAATTCCCTTCTGCAGACCTGCTGGTGAGCAGAACCTGTGTTTGTAATGAGTTGTTCAGTTGTTAATGAAGGAAGGAGGCTCAGGCAGCACACTGCCTGGATTCCTTAAAAACCCACAGGACTTTGAAATGAATCATGCAGGTCACAGGCATCCGGACAACTGAAGCACGGTATGAAAATGCTCCCACCTGCACAAGTTAATTGTTAACCAAAGGCTTCCCGAGCAGGCAGTGATTTAACTACAGCAAGAGGCTGCTGACTCGGGGAGCAAGGTGCCTGAGCCCCTTGAAGCTGATTTTTCACATTCAGGGTGAATTTTTCTCTCTTGAAGCGCTGTCTGGCCACGTGCCATCTGATGGAGGCGGAGAACACAAATGTGCTGAACACACCGAGTACATGAAGCGGGACGTGTGTGCCTGGGAAGGGTTTGCTCCTGTCAGCTCCTTTAAAACTCTTCTCTAGGGCAGATCTGAATTCCTCTATACACCATCATGTGCGGGCGCAGGGGCTGGCACACACCGAGCTCTCTAACTCCTGCCTACGAGGGGCTGGCAGTTGGGTTTTTTTTCCTCTCACAAAGAGCAATTAAGGATGGTGGTTGCTGTCAGCGTTAAGGCTGTCGGAGAGGAATGTTTTTGTTCCATAAAGCCCCTGTTGCAACGTGTTCCGCGTCCGCCAGATCTGTAGCCCGACTTGGCTAGCACAGCCCTTTGGAAGGAAATCCCAGCCCTAACTTGTTAAGCTCCACAGCCCAAGTGCTGCCTCTTTGTTGCTCGCGCGGTTGTGGCGGTTGCTGCGCAGAGAGCAGCAACAACAGGCAGCAGGTTTGATTTTTCAGCGGTCCCGTTTCTGAAAGCATCCAGGAAAAGGGTCTGAGGAAACCCAAGGCCACAGCCTGGGCCAGGAGACAGGCGTTTGGAAGGCAGGAGGAATGTCTCATGCTGATCTACATGCTGCACTCCACAAGGCACGTTCTTTCTGAACGCCATCACGGTGGGAGTGCCCGTGATTGTAAAGCCTCAGCCTCCCAGATGCCTCTGGATTTGTTTGGAAAGCCGAGGGAGTTACTATGACTTTGCAGACTTTCCATTCATTTTCTGGAGGTTCTCTCTCCCTTGGAAATCCTGTTTTAATTCTTCATTTGGCTTCTGCTACGTGCGTTGGTTAGAGCTGGCTTTGGAGTGTCCAAGTAACCCTTTCCACAGAGTCCTCCGCATGTAGCAATTTCTTCCTATTTCCCAATATGGTCATTTGACACAATCTCACACAGGGACTATGTTCTCCTCCAATCCTCCAACCTCTCCTGTAAGACTATGGGGCAGTACCACCAGTCCTTCTACTGCACCAGACGCCACACGGACCCCCCAGATGTTTCATTTCAAGTGGCTGCTTCAGCTCCGAGTGCATCCTGAATGCAGATGGTATAAAATAGCATCCCCAAATGAGAAATCACCTGCGTATTCTTGCAGCAGAAGATGGTCTTGAAGATCATAAGATCTGCACAGGTCCTAAATACCCTGCTGTATCGCTGAGGGCAATATTCTGTGCATCCACCAGGTCCAAAAGCTACTAGGCTGGGATTTTAATGGAAGGTGAGACTCCCACATGAATCCAGGGGCTGGTTCTTTAAGCAAAATACCAGATGATGGAAACATCACCTGAGTTAGCCTTAATAAAACCACGTATGTCCACTCTTCCCTGCCTGGAGGAGGCAGCCCTCACCACCACCCTTCCTGCTTCTGGCCCCTGGGATAGCAGTGACAGACAGGATCCTTGGCAGACAGAAATGAGACCTTTCCAACTCTGGAATGGCCCAGACTGGTTTCATTACCTCTGCTATCTTATCTTTATCTCTCACTACTGTTTTTTAAAAGCCTTTTGTAGGTGCACAAACGAGCTTTGTCAAGAGTTTCTCTCCTCCCTCCACCTCCCTGTGGAGGCAGACCTGACATAGCTGCAGTACAGTTGCTCTGCAGAAGGGCACAGGACAGGGAGTGGGGATGGATGTGTACCTTCACTCCTCTTCTTCCTTGGCACACAGTCCTGACACAGCAAGTCTGCAGATTGCAGCAAGCTACATTTCCTGCAAGTTTTTACCCTTTTCCCCCCTTTTCTCCCTCTTCTCCCTGCCCTTCTGAGGGGGCAGAGGGGGAATGAGCGAGCGGCTGCTTGGCTGGGGTTAAACCACGGCAGCCTAATCCCAAAGATTATTTTGCTGCTTCCCTCTGGGAAGAGGAGGTCCTGTGAGGCATACCATGGGACACCTATTTTCTGGGGCTTTTTGCCCTCTTTACAACACGAGGCATCTGTGATCTAGCAACGAGAGGCAGAGGGTTCCTGCAGCCTGTCCTCAAAGTGTTTCCCCCCGTCACGTTAATCTGCCTGATTTATCCCCGGTGTCCCCAGGCCCTGCCTCCAAGCTCACTTATTTCCATTCCCTGAGCTTTTGGCAGGACTTGTGGTGCTGAGGCCTCTCCCCCTGTTCCCTGTTCCTTTGTGGCTTGGCCAGTGGTAGTTGCGGGGCTCACGGAAGGGATGCAGCATCCCAAGCCCCGTGGTGCTGTCTCCCCTCCGAGCTGCGGCCGGGTGGAGTGCTGCTGGCAGTGTGTGGGGACGGGAGCAGGCAGGCAAAAACGTTCCTGCCCACCTGGGAGAGCCAAGGAACAGCTCAGAGGAAAAACTGAGGCTGCTTTCTTTGGTACGGGGAAGTTGGCAGGGACTGGGAGCAGCTCGGAGGAGGAGAGCTGATCTTCTCCCCGTTAAAGGACAAGTCTGAGAGTGTAAAGCTCTTCCCCTGTGGGTCTGGGCAGGGTTTTGTGCCCCCCTTTAGCTCCGTGGAATGGGCAGCCAGGGAGAGCTGCTTACAGTGTATTTAAGTATTTAAGCTTGAACTGGAGGGTACTGTGTTTCAGGCTTGATGCTGCACAGAGCAAATGCACTTCTTTAAGGCTCAGGGTGCTTTTAAAAATCCTTTTCTTTAAAAAAAAAGAGCATCTTTATGTCTTTGTACGCCACTTCTCTGGAGGTAGAGACAAAGTCCTGTGTGTTTCCACCCCTTTGGAAGATCAGAGAATGGTGGAATTCTGCCCAAGATGGGCTCAGGAGGGTCAAGTAGCAGAGGAAGGTGGGGGAACTGCGGAGTGTCCGAACTTTTCTTTAAAAAAAAAGAGCATCTTTATGTCTTTGTACGCCACTTCTCTGGAGGTAGAGACAAAGTCCTGTGTGTTTCCACCCCTTTGGAAGATCAGAGAATGGTGGAATTCTGCCCAAGATGGGCTCAGGAGGGTCAAGTAGCAGAGGAAGGTGGGGGAACTGTGGAGTGTCCGAAGAGGTATTTGTGTCCAGAGCTCAAAGGTAGTGCAGCCTTGAAGAGAAGCCTCTGTGCAGGGGGAGAGAGAGGGGAAATAGCTGGAGAGTGGCTCTGAATGCTGAATGTCACAAAACAATGGAGCTCTGTGAAACGCTGCAGGGAGTGACTTCAGCTGGGGTGAACGCAGCCGGCTCAGCAAACGCTGGGCTGTCCCCTGTTGCTGCCCCTTCTTCCCAGACAAGGGGTATAGGACAAAAGCAGGGAGAAATATGTCTCTTCGCACTCCAGGCTGCTTCACACACATGACAAAATCTAGTGGTTTGGTTTCGCTGGTAGGTGATTTCCACCGGGAGCTCGGGATGAGCTGACCCCAGGAGTTTCAGAACCTGAATTCTGTCTCCAGCTCTGTCACAGAAAGTGCCAGCGCTGCTTGCCACGTTGGGTATGTGGTAATGTCTTCCCGGGTGTGGGAAGCTGCTGTTTGGGCAGGCACAGTCACTCCCACACATCTGTTGGGCAGTAGCGGTTACCCAGAACTTGCTGGACCTCTTCAGTTTAATTCCTGGTGGCAGAAGGCAGGCTTGGGTGGGCAGGGACGTGGTTCCTGCTGTGCCAGGACTCTCTGTCACAGCAGATCATCAGTGCTGCTTGGCCTTAGCACAGAGGACGAGGTGGAGAGGGGAAGCTGGGGCTTCGCAGAGCAAGGTGGAGGCTTGTGGCAAGCTGCTTTGAGGCTGGACGTGCCTGGGAGGCAGGTTGCAGTAGTGTTCTGGAGCTGAAGCCTGTCGTGCAGACACACAGGAGCAATTGCTTTAGCCAAAATGCCACCCCGTGGCGGTTGGGACATCAGCATTGCCTTTGCAAGCCCTGTTCAATGAAAGGGTCTTGTAGGAGTGGTGTGAAAACCCAAACAGCTGCTTCTGTTGAAATGTGTTTCACCTTTTTTTTTTAACTTTATGTTTGTCTTCAAGGATTTGGCTTTGTGTTCCTGAATTTTTCAAAGAGGGTCTGGTTTGCTGAATTGCTACGAAGGGGCTTGGTTACCCCTAGGTGACTTCAAGTGTCATCCAGTGCTGCTGTAGGCTACATCACCCATCCAGAAGGGCCTCTATTTTAGATGTGCCATGTTCTGTGCATTAAAGTCAGCACTGATTTCTCGCTACTGTTTCTCTTCCAGATGTTATCCATGCAAATCATCTTCATGCAGTAGATATCACCTCAAGCAGCTTTCGTCTGGTGTGGCCCGAACTCCTCTCCCAAGAAACTGGCTACTACACCATAGAGTATGGCCCCACAGATGATCTAGCAAGGAAGAGGACAAAGCAGGTGTCCGGGGCTCACACCAAGAAACTGGCTACTACACCATAGAGTATGGCCCCACAGCTGATCTAGCAAGGAAGAGGACAAAACAAGTGTCCGGGGCTCACACTTCATCCAGTGCTGCTGTAGGCTACATCACCCATCCAGAAGGGCCTCTATTTTAGATGTGCCATGTTCTGTGCATTAAAGTCAGCACTGATTTCTCGCTACTGTTTCTCTTCCAGATGTTATCCATGCAAATCATCTTCATGCAGTAGATATCACCTCAAGCAGCTTCCGTCTGGTGTGGCCCGAACTCCTCTCCCAAGAAACTGGCTACTACACCATAGAGTATGGCCCCACAGATGATCTAGCAAGGAAGAGGACAAAGCAGGTGTCCGGGGCTCACACCAGCCTCGTGCTCAGCAACCTTGCACCAGAAACTACTTACGAGGTGGCACTCATTCCTGAATCCAACGTCCACTACTTCCCTCCCCAGACAACGAGGGTTACTACACTGGCAGGTAAAATGTGCACAGTTGTGTCCAAGGGGGAAGTCTCCCCCGTGCTGAGCCTCAAAGCCAAGGGGACAGCCCTTGGTCTGCATCCCACAGCCTCATGGTCTGGTTGGAGGAGGCAGGTGGTTGTGGTCAGGAGAGAATGTAATGAGCTGGCAGTTCCTTCCTTAGAGAGATGTCCTGGACTGCCCAGAACAAGGGGTTTTATGCTCCTCTGACAGCATTCTTATGCATTGAATTACACACTCACATCTTTTTACTTTGCTTTCAGAGGAAGTAAGCCCAGTTCAGGTTCTCATCTCGGAGTCTGGGCCACACAGCTTCCACGTTAGTTGGGCTCCTACACTGGAGAGCGTGGTGGGCTATCAGATCCTGTACGGACCGCTCCCTGGGAACTCGGTGAAGCTGCTGGAGGTGAATGGCAAGCACAACAGCACCACGGTGGAGAATCTGACACCCAATACAACCTATCTAGTGACAGTGACTGCCCTCTACAAATCGGGGAAGGAGAAGTCCCTGTCGGCCAAAGCATGCACTCAGGAAGGTGAGTGAGCAGAGCCCTGCTGATAGGAAGCTCTGGGGGCACGAGGAGTCTCTGGTTTCTTCTCACAGATCCATCTGCCTCTAGGTGAAACCAGGGAACTCAGCCCAGTTACTGGGGAGGGATGTGAGAAGGGGAAAGCTGCAGCTTCTGATGAACAGCACTTCTATGCCATTAGCATATAGTAGATGTAGAAGGCGTAGGACTGAAAGAAAATCAGATACACACAACATGAGTGCAGTCATGGGGTGTGTACTGCCAAGCTGCAGGTGCAGGCACATTCTCACAGATCCATCTGCCTCTAGGTGAAACCAGGGAACTCAGCCCAGTTACTGGGGAGGGATGTGAGAAGGGGAAAGCTGCAGCTTCTGATGAACAGCACTTCTATGCCATTAGCATATAGTAGATGTAGAAGGCGTAGGACTGAAAGAAAATCAGATACACACAACATGAGTGCAGTCATGGGGTGTGTACTGCCAAGCTGCAGGTGCAGGCACAAGCAGAATGGACTTGGAGATCTCTGGATGTCCCTAAACAAGAAAGGAAAGTGCCTTTCCCTCCCACCTCCTCAGTGTCTCTTCTTTGGTGTGTCATCTGCCTCTAGGTGAAATCAGAGAACTCAGCCCAGTTACTGGGGAGGGATGAGAGAAGGGGAAAGCTGCAGCTTCTGATGGACAGCACTTCTATGCCATGAGCATATAGTAGATGTAGAAGGCGTAGGACTGAAAGAAAACCAGATACACACAACATGAGTGCAGTCACGGCGTGTGTACTGCCAAGCTGCAGGTGAAGGCACGAGCAGAATGGACTTGGAGATCTCTGGATGTCCCTAAACAAGAAAGAAAAATGCCTTTCCCTCTCACCTCCTCAGTGTCTCTTCTTTCATGTGCCTGGGCATCTGAGGGGTGGAAATTTCACCAGCAGAAGCTTCTGCTCTGAAGAGGTACCTATAAAGGTATCACAGGAGGCAAAATCTAGCTCTTATTGGAACTCAGGAGTGAGGAGCTCTGAGAATGACAGTAGTTGAGGGTGAGGGAGGTGACCAGCCAGCATCTAATAGTGCCAACAAAAGAGTTTCGTGCCGGTACCAGGACAAAGTTAAGGACTAATTAGGCTGAGCTCCTCCAGTGCAGATGGGCTATTGCGTGTCTACAGCAGAGAACAACCAGGCTGGCTGGTAACCCTGTCTCAGCAATCCCCTCCAGAGGACCAAGGAGCTTGGTGGTAAGGACCACTCCATACTAATGGCCCACAGTAACATGAATCTTCTTTCTCTAGAGGGCTCCAAAGTGAGGCACCTTCGCTTTGAAGACATGGGCCCCAACACCCTGAAAGCCTCCTGGGACTCCGCCGATGGCAAAGTCCTTGGTTACAGAGTCAGATGCCGGCGGCAAATTGGCCCTTCCTCTGTCCTCAGCGTTTCGCCGCAGGTCCACAGCGTGCTCCTCACGGACCTGGCTTCAGGCACCATGAACAAAGTGTGCGTGAAGCCCGTGTACAAGAACCAGCCGGGCAAGGGGCTGTGCCGCATGGTGCACATGCAGCCAGGTGAGCTGGGGCCCAAGGCAGAGTCCTGGGGTGCTTTAGCCAAGGGAAAGTGTCCCACAGGGCACTGAGATCCAACACAGAGCAGCCCTCGTGGCTGAAATACCCCCTGCTCATCAGCTAGCTTGACATAAGGTCTTCATCACAGCTACCAGCCCAAGAGGTACTGTCCAAAGATGGGCTCTTTTCCCCATTTTTAAAAGCAATGCTCCTCCTAGTGGTGTTATGTTTGCAGGTGGGAGGAAAAGTGTGCAGTGGAGACAGTCCTGCGACTACTTGGGGATAAGAAGGGCGGGATAACAGCTGGCATGGGCGCTGGAAGCGCTCTTTAAAAGTCATTTGAAGCCTTGGCTACTCCACTTTTCAACGTGGCAGGGACAAGCGAAGTGTTAAACCCAGCTGCTAAGGCACAGCACGTCCTCTTCCCTCCTTCCACTGCCCAGACACCACTTTCTGTCACAGAACACAAAGGGATTCTTGTGGAGGAAGAGCTAAAAAGCAGCTGTGTGTCAGTGTTCTCCCAGTAAGAGGCTGGGGCGGCAGTGAGAGTGCCCACAGGGAGGGGATCTTTGACTCATCAGATTTGGAGAACTGGTGGACAAAGCTGACATGATATTTTTTGTGTTCTTCCCAGCTACAGAGGCCCACGGGTATAAGCACAGACAGAGAGCATGACAGACTCTGGAGTGAACTGGTTCCCGGCAGAGCAAGGAATCTTGCTTGGACAAAGACTTGGACAAAAAAAAAAGGAGGGATCAGGGGAGGAAACCAGAAAACTCACAGATCATCTCCCAGCCTGCACTGTCCCTGGAGGTGTCCTGGTTGTCAAGCCACAAGGCTGTCCTCAGCCAAGTTCTCCCAAAGCCTAAAAGGTCTGGCTTGGCTGGATGGAAAACCCAACCTGACTAATAGATCCCAAACCTGTACCTTCTTTTATATAAATATCCCTGACAAATAACAAACCAAAGGCGAAGTGATGAATCTTCACTACTGCTTGCTTACTGCCTGTTCTCTATTTATTAAATGTCGATACAGTTTTGTTTTTGCAGCTTATGAGTGTGTTCAGGACATGGCTGTTTGGTGCCCTGGCCTTTCATTCCAGGCACCTGCACTCAGAAAAAAAAAAAAAAAAGATAACGTGTGACCAAATCCATTCCTGCTGGCAACAGCCACTGAAGCTGATGCACCTGACAAAGAGCAGCTTTCCTCCAGCTCACCCAGTGTACTCAACTGGTAGCTCAAATTAGGCATCCCAAACGTATAGCAGCTCAGGGATGGAAGGGAAAAAGCATTAGGAGAAATAAGAATCAAATAGCACAAAAATATGCAGCTTGTGGTGGAGCTTGGGTCAAAGCCACCGGGATTTCTGAGAAGAGGAAGAAAAGAGGTCGTTAACCCACTTGGCCTTTGGCCAGGACGTGGTGACACTTCATAAAAAGACATCCTGCCTCTTATAAAGCGTGGGGACAGTCTAGCGTTCCCAGATGGTCTCTGGTTTATGGCAGAGAGTGGTCGGTGAACTCTGAGGGTAGGGAAGGGTAGGGCTGTGCCCGGTCAGGGCTGAGGAGCACTGTCAGAGAGCTCCAGCAGGAACGTTTGCCCACTGTCTGCCTGCTGAGTTCTCGAGTCTCACCAACACTCTTCCACTCTCCCCCTGGCGCTGGCATTAAAGTCATCTGCTGCGATGACCGACAAATCCCAGCTGGACTTCCAAAGGGTTCAGTTCCCCCAAGTCATCTCCTTGGGGTTTGGGATCAGTCTGAGAGAGCAGGAAACTCTAAAACCTGGGAATTGGCTTGCCCGGCAGGTTATTCCAGAGCTCTCAGCTGAGCTCAAGGAGTTAAGGTTAGGGTTAAGGCAAGAAAAGCCAGACAGCAAGACCATCTAAAGCAGTTATTGCTGTCTCTCATTCAAATACACACCTCCTTCTGCCTGGATCGTGACCACTGAATTGCTGTGCGTACCTGCCACCAGTCTCACCAGACCGGGAGTGAGTTCTGCTAGCAGAGAAGCTATATGGAGATTAATTAGCCTGTTCTGTGACTAATTATGGGCAGTAAGTCTCCAGCACTACCATTCCAAACTCTATCCTCTGCACTCTGAAAACACCTAGCACATCTTTAGTGTCTTGTCCTGGGCTTCCACCCAGTGCTAAGCTTGAGCTACACTTAAAAATCAGGTTTTTAGAGGAGAAGAGTAAATTTGATTCATTCCCTTTGGCCCCAGGCTTGAATTTGCTGTCACTAAGCTACTCTTTAGAAAGGGGAGCTGAAAAAAACCACTTTAATACCTAGTGACAAAGCCATTAGAGCAGTATGCTTCCAAAATTCAGGGCTTAGGGCTGTAAAGAAATGTATAAACTTTTCTGGTAACAAACCCCAGCGTCAGTGGGAACATCTTCCCTCAGTAATGCTTGCTCTATTTTAAATTTATTGCTTAATTGTCCTATGTGAGGAACTTTGTTTTTAAAGCTGTGCTGTATGTTGGAGACCCCCTGTGCAGCGTCGCTCCATTAGCTCTGCTTATGGACTCCTTAAACCAGCTCCATTTGGAGCCGGGAGGAACTTTGTCACTGACCTTGTGTCCCAAGTGCCGAATTTGTCACGTCTATGTTTATGGATTTCCCCTGGGCTGTTGTCTTGTAGGGGAGGAAGGGAGAGGAGGGAGACGAGTCATTCATTAACTCAATAAGAAGGTTTCGTATGATTTGTGTTCTCCTTTGGAATGTGCATTTGTGACTGATTAATCTTAATGGAGCCTCTGTGCTGACGGGGGAAGATCAAGCCTCTGGAATCTCTCATGCAATAAAAGATAATCTTGTTCATTCTTGCTGTAGGGCAGAAATTAATTTTGCACAGTCCCCTGCATAGTTTACTAATACATTTATGTGTCATTCCCTCCCTGCTCCCAATTGTAATGCATCCTTTTGAAGACAATTAAATATACAATACAAGAGCTATTGCATGATTACTTCGTTCTTGATGGCAATAAGGGCAAACCTGTTAAGTGCGGCTTTTGTTCTAATGAGAGGTATGGGTTGAAAAGCTGGTATTTATCTCCATTTTAAATGGCTGAAAAGTAAGCATTCCACTCATGACTTCAGAGTCTCATTACATGGAACTTCCTCAAAAAAATGTTTCAGAAATCACAGAATTATAGAATGGTTTGGGTTGGAAGTATAAACATTGCCTAGCAACAATTAAAACAATATGCGTTGTTGACATTCCTGTCACAGCAATCACTAGAAAGAAAATGAACTCTTTCCCAGCTGAAGCCAGGACAATTCTACATTTTACACTGTTCCAGGCTGCAGGATTTTACATAAAATCAGAGAATTGTCGAGGTTGGAAGAGACCTTTGAGATCATCAGGTCCAACTCTTAGCGCTGACAAACTCATGTCCCTCAGCACCACGTCTGCCCGGCATTTAAATACCTCCAGGGATGGTGACCCCACCATTTCCCTGGGCAGCCTCTTCCAAGGCTTGACAACACTTTTGGTGGAGAAATTGTTCCCAATATCCATCCTAAACCTCCCCTGGCACAACTTGAGGCCGTTTCCTCTTGTCCCGTTGCCTGTCCCTTAGGAGAAGAGCTGGAACCCACCTCTCTACACCCTCCTTTCAGGGAATTGTAGAGGGATAAGGTCTCTCCTCAGCCTCCTCTTCTCCAGGCTGAACACCCCCAGCTCCCTCAGCCTCTCCTCAGGAGACTTGTGAGCTTTAGTGAGTTTTCTGCCTTTTACAGCCATTTTTTCTTTTTTCTTTTTTCTTTTTTCTCGCTCCCCTTCTCTAGCCGCTTCACGGGCCTCGCCCGCGTTAGGAGCCGCCTGAGCGGGAGCAAGATTTTCAGGCGAAAACCACCTTTTTTCCAGGGAACAGGCGCGTCCATTTCCCCTCTCTCGGCCCTTAGCAACGCGGCCGCGCTCCCGTTGCTATGGCCCCGCCCCATTTTGTCCCTCTCCGCTCTCCGTCCCCAGCCCTCAGGCCCCGCCCACCCTCTCCCTACCCCAGCCAATCGCATTCCCCTCCCTGGCCGAGCCCGCCGCTTCGCTCCACCAATCAGAAGAGGGTCTGAGCGGGGGGGCTGTGACGCCACGCACGCGACAATGCCCGGCCCAATGGAAGGGCGCGACGTCACGCCCGCGCGCCTGCCGCGTGCGTGAGGGAGGGCGGGCGTGCTGCCGGCGGCGCCGTCATGTCCTGGCTCTTCGGGCTGAACCGCGGCGCGGCCCCCGCGGGCGGCGGGGACGCGGCGTCGGGCGCGGCCGGGCTCTCCCTCCCGCCGGCCCCGGGAACCGGTGGTGGAGGGGGCGCGGCGGGGGG